AGGGTTTCTCTGTGTAACAGCTCTGGCTGTCCTAAGACTCACTCTATAGACCAGGCTGGCCTGGAACTCACAGAGATCCTCCTGTCTCTGCCTTCCAAGTGTTAGGATTAAAGACATGCACCACCATCTGGAAAACATAGAATAAATTGATATATTCCTATGACTTGCCAAATTAAATCAAGAAGCTATAAATACTATGAAGAGATCTCTAACAAGCAATGAGATTATATCAGTAATAGTCTTCCAACAAAGAAAAACCCAGGACTAGACAGACTCAATACTGAATTCTACCAACACTTTTCCAAGGAGCTGACATTAATGCTACTCAAATTGTTTAATAAAATATAAATGGAAAGAACACTATTAAACTCTTTCTACAAAGCTGGTATTGTCATAATATCCAAAATAGATAAAACACACACAAAAGAAAACTATAGACAAATTTCCCTGATGAACTTAGATGCAAAAAAACTCAATAAAATACCCTCCAGCTGAGTTCAAGAACATACCAGAAGATGTGCTATGGCAAAGTGGTTTTATTCCAGGGATGCAAGTATTGCTCAAAATATACTAGTAGGTGTGAAACAGTGCACAAATAGACTTCATAATAGAAATTACATAAAGATCTCAGAAAAGACATTTGGTAAGTCCAAAACCTTTTCATGATAAAAGCCCTAAAGAAAGTAGGAATAGAAGGAACACATCTTAATATAATAAAGGCTATATACAACAAACCCCTAACCAACATTACATTAAATGGACAAATACTGTAGCTGGAGTTATCTCCAGTCCTGCCTGGGCCTCAGCCTCTCAGATCCAAATAAACACACACAGGCTAATATTTTTTAAAACTGCTCAGCCATTTGCTCAGGCCTACCACTGACCAGCTCTTACACTTAAACTCAGCCCATTTCTGTTCATCTATATGTTGCCATGTATTTCATGGCTTTACCTGTGTGCCTGTTACATGCTGCTCCCTGGATGGCAGGCTGGCATCTCCTGACTCAGCCTTCCACTTCCCAGAATTCTCCTCTCTCTTTGTCTTGCCTATACTTCCTGCTTGGCTACTGGCCAATCAGCATTTTATTTATACAGAGTGATATCCACAGCACAAATACTGAATTTTTTCCTCTAAAATTAGTAGTGAGGCAAGACTGCGCACTCACTCCATGCTTAATAAGAAAAGAGATGTAAATAGGAATATAAAAATCAAATTATCCCCATTTGTAGATAGCATTATCTTCTACTTATAGTATCCTAAAGATCCCAAATGGAAATAGATATGATCACCACTTTCAAACAAGTAGCAAGATACAAAATGAACACACAAAACTGAGCAAGCCAGGAACTGGGCATGTATCTCAGTTGGTAGAGAGCTCACCTAGCATGCAATAAGCCCTGTATTCCATTTCCAGCACTGCACAAACTGGGTGTGATGGTGCATGCCTGAATTCCAGAACTCAGCTCAGGAGGTAGAGGCAGAAGGATCAGAAGTACAAGGTCATCTTCAGCTTTATAGCAAGAGCAAGGCCAACCTATAATACATGAAACTGTCTCAAAACAACAACATAACTCATTATGGTCCCATATACCAATAGTGAATTTGCCAAGAAAAAAAATTCCACTCATGGTAGCTTCAAATAAATAACCTAGGAATAAACCTACTCAAGAGGTGAAAAACATCTACAATAAAAACTTTAAAACACCAAAGAAAGAAGTTGATGATACTACAAAATGAAAAGACCTCCCATGCTCACAGATTAGCAGTGTGAAAATGCCTATATTACCCAAAGCAGTTTACGGACGCCACACAATCCTTAGAAAAAGTCTAATAACATTTATCATAGAACTAGAGAAAAATTCACAGATTTATATGGAAGCACAAAAAGACCCCAAATAGTCACAGAGCCACAGTTACAAAAATAGCATGGTACTGGCACCAAAAACCAGACATGTGGATAAATGAACTAGAACAAAGAACTCAGAAATAAACCCACATAACTACAACCACCTAATTTTTGACAAGGTTATAAAACATACACTAGAGAAAAGACACCCTCTTCAGCAAATGATGCTAAGAAAACTAGATATCCAGATACAGAAATATGAAGTTAAATTCCTATGTCTCACCCTGTGCAAAAATCAATTCAAAATGGATTAAAGACCATGTGATGCCTGATGCTCTCAAACTGCCAAAGAAAAACAGGGAAAAACTTCAAGATTAACTTAAAAGGATCCTAATAGCATAGAAAACCAGTATCAAAGCTGGTAAAAAGAGGAGTGCATGAAATTTAAAGGCTTCTGTAAAGCAGAGGAAGCCATCAATAAGACAAAGAGATGGGTTAAGAAATAGAAGAAAACATTTGCCAATTACACATCTGACAGTTGGCCAACATCCACAATCTGTAAAGAGTTAAAAACATTAAATGTTAAGAAAACCTCAAGTACCAAATTGGCAAGTTGGCTAATAAAATGAGCAGGAAACCTCAAATACCCAATTGGTAAGGAGGCTAATGAGATGAGCAGATCAAAAGAATAAATTCAAATCGCCAATGAATATTTGAAAACATGTACAGCATCCTTAGCCATCAGGGAAATACAGATTAAAGCTCTGTTGGGATCCTACCTCACCCCAGTTAGCAGAATGGTGCAGTTACTATGGAAACCAGGATGGTGGTTCCAAAACAGAATCTCAAAACTATCATCTAAGCTGGGTATGGTGACTCATGCCCATAATCCTAGCACTGAGGAAGCTGGGACAGGAGGATCACCATAGGTTTTAGGTCAAACTGGGCAAAGTACAATGATATATATGTATGCAAATGTCATAATAAACTCATTATTTTATATGCTATCGAAAATAATTCATATGGGGATGGAGAGATGGCTTAGTAGTCAAGAGCATTGGCTAATCTTCCACAAGATCTGCATTCAGTTTTCAGTACCCGTATGACATCTAACGACTGTGAAAACTCCAAATCGAATGCTCTCTTTGGTCTCCACAGGCACTGACTACATGTGCTGGACAGACATAAATGCAGACAAAATGCCCATAAATATAAAAGAAAAATAAAATCTCAAAAAATTATAAAAAATCCAAAATAATAATGTCATATTTATAAGAAAGAATATTATACAGATGTTTAAAAGGTCATATGTTAGAGTAAAATAAATTAGAAGATATAAATCATGTTTATTCAGAAAAAGATGAAGATGTATATATATATACATACATATAAATACACTTATGACTTTACAACTGTATCTATACTAAAATGAATGGAAAGGCCCATAATAAACACAATTCTGTCTGGAGACAGAGGAAAAGAAACAGAGTGGGGATAACAGTCACGGGAAATTTGTGTGTGTGTGTGTGTGTGTGTGTGTGTGTGTGTGTGTATTTTGTTTTTTTTTTTTTTTTTTTTTTTTTTTTTTTTTTTTTTTGGTTTTTCGAGACAGGGTTTCTCTGTGTAGCTTTGCGCCCCTGGAACTCGCTTTGGAGACCAGGCTGGCCTCGAACTCACAGAGATCCGCCTGGCTCTGCCTCCCGAGTGCTGGGATTAAAGGCGTGCGCCATATTTTGTTATTATTAAAAGTACATATGACAAAGTGTGAGAGTTTTCCATTCTCTGTGTCATGTTAGTTCTTACACTATTCTGTAACTTCTAACTTTCACACAATTAAATATATATAGATAGATAGATATAATTTATCTATATAGATAGATACAAACGTGTGTATATGTAATATGAATGACTGTTCTGGTTTTTGGTTTTTGGGTTTGTTTTTTTTTTTTGTCAACTTGACACAAGCTAGATTTACCTGAGAAGAGGAAACCACAATTGAGAAAATGCTTCCAAAAGGTTGGCCTACAGGCAAGCCTGTGAGACATTTTCTTAATTAGTGTTGTTTGTGAAGGCCCAGCCTATTGTGGGTGGGGCCACATATCTGAAGAGGGGAGCATTGCTGAGCCCCTGAAGTGCATAAGAAAGCAGGCTGAGCAAGCCTAAAAGTAAGTACTGTTCTCCATGGCCTCTGCTTTAGTTCCTGGCTCAAATTCCTACCTTGGTTTCCCTTAATAGACTGCAACGTAGGGTATGTAAGCCAAATAAACCCTTTCCTCCCAAGTTGCTTTTGGTTGTGGTATTTTATCACTACAATAGAAACTCCAACTATGACAATGATGAATAATCCCTAGACACTGGCAAACTACAGATTTCCATGAGTCACTGGTATGAGAAAGTATTACTGAGGAAATATGGAGCTGTTTCTCCTACATGTTACTGAGCCAAGAGAAGTAGCAGCAGCAGACAGCCTTGACTCTGGGGTTGGTGAGGACCATGTGGTAGGTGGTATGGCCAATAGGTATCTCTAGCCCATCTATCCAAGGCTTCAGATTACAAAGACACAGTCCTCATTCCATGAAGCACGTTAGACTCATTGTCCAAAGACAGAGAAGTTTCAATATTACAAAGAACCTCGGGGTTTCAAATAACCAATCTAAATATAGAAAAGCCTGGACTACAAGACATTTTTAGAGAAAAGAGGTTTTTAACTGTTCTCATAAATATTTTTAAACTCTGATAACAGTATGTTATGAAGAATTTCCAAAACAAATTATTTTGTTTATAAAATTGAGGAAGACTCATTCATCATGAATCAGCAACCATGTATATAAAGATATATAATAATGATAACCCTTAAATATTGTCCTATAGCTGTTGAAGCCCCAGAGAACTTTACTTTTGCTACTGATATTCTTGTTGCTAATAAACAAGTCCAGAGCCAGACAGACAAATTGCAGCATGGTGTTGCCCAATTCCCCGTGGGCCCCTTCAGTATACTATTGAAGGACATTAAGATGATTCCATGGACACTTATTAGCCTTCATTCACATAATGAATGCCCTTGGGACCTCTAAGGCCTTGTGCTAGAAGTTAGGTTCAAAGGACAGTAGGCAAGTATTGCTGAGGGAGGCAGGGGCAGCACCAGTTACTTACTGTCACTAAGGGTCCAGGCGGTGAGGTCTTCACTCCACTCCCCCTGGGCCTTGGTGTTGACTCGAGCTCGGACAACGTACTGTTCCCTGGGGCTTAAGTTGTTCAGTAGCACCGAGGTCAGGTTCCCTGGCACTTTGATGTTCTGCTGATCACTTTTTTTTTGCATGGACCTCCTCTCAACTTCGACATACACCTCATCTTTTGAGATTGGAAATATTGGTTGCCAGGTCAAATTTAGAGTCGTCTGGCTTTTGGGCAGGAGACTGAGACCTCTTGGAGGAGGGAGTCCTAGAAGTCACCAAAAGATGGTTATTTTCATATTGGATAGAAGTAATGACAGCTCCAGAGGGCATCTGCAACGAGTAATCTTGGTTTCTAGAATAACATAAAACACCCACAAGCTACCAAAACACATAAGCAAGCAGCCATGATACTTCCCCTCCTAACACAACAGTAAATCTTTGAAGTAATTTTTACATACACCTTGGGTAGTTTTAATATAGAAACACAACCTTCTTGAGAACAACTTGCAACATGAGTAAATATTTCAAGAGCCTTAAAAATGTTTATATTCTCTGGCCTTAACACCTGACTACCAGGGATTTATCCTGAGGAAATAAATATTCCAAAGGAAGATGAAAATATCTGTGCATGGGGATGTTCATTACAGCACTCTTATAAATAGTAGATGACAGGGGGGGAGCAAATCTTCAAAATTCTTTAATGAAATTACAGTCATCCCAAGGGTTACTATAAATGAATAAGAGCAGGCGCTCAATTAAAATAGTTATAGTGTTACAGGTAATGGAATCTTCCCACAGGTCAAGTCCGCAACTGGAAAGGAAGCAGAGCGACTGATAGAAATGAACACAGTGGGTTTTGTTTCATTACCATTTTGAGAGAGACATTTACAAGCCACAAATGTCAGGTCACTTCCTCCCAGCAAGGAGAATTTCAGGTATCACACCCACTATGGTGAGGGGCTAGCCCTAACCCTGTCCTGACCACATTACAGTACTAGCTATAAACACCTCTTGCTGGCTACACTTACCCAGGATGGGGTACCAGAGAAGTTGCCAAAAAAAACAGTATGAATTTTTAAAATTAGAGAGACAGGAGCATCCTGCTTCTACTTCAGAATCTGGGCAAATTCATAACCTAAGTTCACCTGTAAAATGGCACAGCCAGACTCATCTTCTAGTCCCAGGAGAATAAGTGGGGTAATGGTTATGAAAGAGTTTGGGAAGTCTTAGGAACTCCGTCGATATTTGTTCCCTCCTTCCTTTCCTTTCCCGTCTCATGTCCATAAATAAAGGAAGAATATGTCTACTTTTAATTAATAACAGTAATTGATTTATAGGTTCCAAATAAAAAGTCCCTTCAAAGCATGAAAAGAGCCTTCCTTCCTCATCTCAGGACAGTGGCATCATCACCCCCGGGCATGGCGGGGGGTCAGGTGGGACTGATTTGCAGAGTGTGAGAACATTTTAGATCATGACAAAGCTTTCCAAATGGTGGTTACAGCACACGAATAGACAGACAGTGTGCCTGTGATGTTAAACTCTTACATGCAATATAGTCTAATAGGACCCACATTTAAAGGAAAAAACCCAACTCTTTATGGTGTGACTTAAAAAAGGGAATTTAAAAAACACTTCAAACTCTTAGCCAAAGGAAGAAGGAAGGGTCCTGAGAGCCTACCCAGCTCTAGTTGTCCGTAGACTGATGAGAACTAGCAGTTGTGTACACATTTGCCTGGCATTTTGCTAAAAGCCTTCTTGGCTCATCACTAGCATCTAGGAAGATGAAGAAAGGTGCTATCTACTCCTTTTGCTAGCCTTTAGAGTTTTAATCCCAACAGAAGCCATCCTCAGCGGATGTACAGACAGTTTATAAAGACACAGCACAGGCAAGTGTCGGAGAACACTTGTAAAACTCCTCAGCCTTTGCTTTGGGTAGTGGGAGGAACTTCAAATGCAGCCATCTCTACTTTAGCTTCCCTTTGGGGACACAGTCACCCTTCACCCAGCTTTGGCTGTTCTTTTCTCTGCAATGAGCTCGGAACATGCTCTCCTCCCCGTCTCCTGGCCTCCCAGCCTTCCCCACCTAATGAAAACAAACAGGGCCACTGCCAGAAGAATCGAAAAGCCAGCATCAGCAGAATTCACTTGGTGGGAAAAGGGGACCTTCAAGAGTTCCCTTTCCACTGCCCCCAGAAGTACTTTGAAATATTCCAAGAGGTCCCTAAATGCATCCTGGCTGGAATGTATTCTGAGGACTGGAGGCCGTGCTGCAGGTCTGGGAGTGTTTTATGTTCTGTCCCATGAATACTTTCCTCTTGAGTCAGACTGTGACCTTCCTCTTTTGATGCAACACTGAACTAAGGGAGAATTAACTGCCACTTGCCTCTAAATGCAGTGTGATGACACAGCAGAAGCCCTTTACTCACGAGTCAGAGAGATACCTTTATTCTCCCTACAGAGTTCGTTTGACATTTTTTATTATGATGGGATGCCATTTCTTACTGCTACTTTAGAAGTGACTAGAGAATGGAGGTCAGAGTCTACAGTGTAGGAGGACAGTGGAAGTATTAAGAAGGTGAGAGGTGGTGGGGATCCTGGGACAGGAGAAACAAGGTGTAAGGAGCTGGGAGTGGGGGCTGTACTTGCAAGGATGACAAGCCTCAGATGTCAGAAGCCCATGAGAGCTATTAAGATAAAGTGTCTAGGAACCAAACAGCCAAAGCTCAAGAGCTGTAACTTAGCTGCTAGGTGTTGGTACACTAAGCCCTGGGATGTGAGCCTCTTCCTGACTCTGGAGCTTTGGGGCTTCAAGCTAAAAGCTTCTGTGTTTGGAAGCTATTGTAGTTTGGATGCAAACTGTCCCCAGGAAAGCTCATGTACCAGAGGCTTGGCTCTCAGAGGACAGTGCTGCTTTTGGACATTCTAGAACACTGAGAAATCAAACCTAGGTAGACGATTACCTTACTGGATGCGGGTACTGAGTAGTTTGGATGCCTGGCCCTTTCCCCTACCCTGCTCTTCATGGTCACCATAAGAGGAAGAAGATCCCTTTGCTACAGGCTTCCTCCACCAGTGCGCTCTGCCGACACAGATACAGTGAGTGACCTTGGAGCGAATCCTCTGAAACCAGGAGCTGAAACACACCTTTCCTTCCTAAGTTGTTGTCTGGGGAACTTGTTCTGAGTGACAAGGAAGCTGATGCAGAGCTGAACAGTTCTGACCTGCTGTAGAACACAGGGCACTGTAAAGAACACACAAGAACTTGCAACTATGAACCACTCATCAGGCGATAATAAGAGTGATTAAAGGACACAGAATGAATCAAAGGACAGGAAGAGACTATTATAAAGGTCACTCTAGTGTTTCAGAGGAGGGCATCAAGGAGCAGGAAACTGGAATTCAAGTTAGCATCAAGGAGTCTGCACACATCGAGAGCTCCTCCATTCACACGATGCAAGGCCAGTAGATACTGAATAACACCAGTAAATGAAGAAATGTTCTATAGGTGTGACTCACACATGTACTCAGCACTGGAGAGGTTGAAGCATGAGAATTAGCACAGTTAAAGGTCTGCATGGGCTATATTGTGAATTCCAGTCCTGGACTGTAGAGTGAAGCCCTATCTTGAAAGGGAGAGAGAGAGAGAGAGAGAGAGAGAGAGAGAGAGAGAGAGAGAGAGAGAGAGAGAGAGAGAGAGCACCTAACTGTTGAACCATAGCCTTCCTTCAAACCTATTGGATCAAAAATTCAGGGTAGATGGTGTTGGAGAGATAGTTCAGGGGTTAAGAGCACTGGCTTTTCTTCCAGAGGACCCAGGTTTGATTTCTAGAACCCACATGGTGGTTCACAACCAGCTGTAACTCTAATCCCAGGGAATCTGATGCCCTCTGGCTTCCACAGACACTGCATGAATGTATTGTACAGACATTCATGCAGGCAAAACACTCATATGCACAAAATAATAAAGTAAAATTTTAAAAGATTCTGGGAGTAGGGTCCAGCAATTTGTTTTAACAAACTCTTTGGGTGGTTCTGGTGGATACTAACGTTAGGACCACTGACTTAGCAACATCAAGGTAAACACTGAAATAAATAGCTTAGCATAGAAACCGAGGCTGAAAGGAAGCAGGGCCGGGGGAGGTGGGAGGTGGAGCAGAGGAGGACCGTTCCTCAGACAAAAGCCTTTCCTTCTATTTGATGTTTGAACTATGGGCATGGATTACTTTGAAAAATAGAAATTATTTTTTAAAAAATAAATAAACTTGGATTTTCTGAAGCATGTTTGTGGCAAAAGCCTGGTACGGTCCCTTGGGATGGAAACAGGAAGCTGGGGGTGATATACAGAAGTCAAGGCTCAACACAGTGGCTGCTAAGTAAATCTCAAGCCCTCAGGGATGGCCTCGCCTTCCTGAAGGCTCATCTGCTTCCTCCTCTGTCCCCCTGGATGGCTACAGTCCCCCTCCCCCCAGGAGACAGAGCAGCAGTCTAGCCCAAATAAAGGACTGGTTTGGCTTGAAGTTCCGAGTCTTCCTGTCACTTTCCTACCCCGTCCACAGCAAACTCCTTCCACCTCCATCCCCACCCACCCACTCAGCCCACACCACCCTTCCTGCTCTTCCTTCCTCTTTCCCCTTCCTCCCGCTCCCACCCAGCTCAGGAATAAATGTCTGCTGGCTTCCACTGACCGACAGACGCTGTTGTGAATCGTCTCACAGGTCCAGGATGGCCTTCTCCACCCTCTCCAGGACGGGCCAGCTGCACACACAGCTCGTAGTCAGTCTGAGGCTCCAAGTAGTTGAGTGTGACAATCTCATTCATCACTGGGAAGAGAGAAAAGTCCAGAAAGCTTCAATTTGCATCCTGTTATGTTCCTTAAAACCAGAGTGGTTGCTATTGCAATGGGAACTAAATAAGGTTTTTAAACATCGGTGTCTTGGTGAAGAAAAGAGGTAATTCCATCTTCAAGGATGTACAGTTTCCAACATAAGGGAAATTAGGCCTTTGATAGGGTATGTCCAGGTTTCAGTGTACATATTAGCATGTACATTTCTAGGCTATGTATACATTTCTGCTCTAGTGTTTTTTACATTTTCAATTGCAAAAGTAAACCTCACAGATCTACCACACAGGATGCCAGACTTGGGAGGCTCAATTAGCATACTATAAAATGTTATTTTCACTGTTTTCAAGGACACACACTGATTGCAATCAAGCTGTCGAGAGAAAAAAGGCCCAGCAGGTTTTTGTTTAATATTACCAGACAATGGATCTCTAACAGCCATATCCTCACAATGAGGGGTTCTAGAGCCTCTTAAAAACAGTTTCCACAAATAGCTGGCCTGCGCGTTTCTCTTAGCTATTTGTTTTGTCCGTTCCTTTATCTCTGTCTTTATCTCTATGGATATAGCAAAGTTCAACTTCTGACTTACCTTATGATAAATTGCTAATTGGTAAGAAAAAAAGAACTATGTTTAGCATTTCTTAGAAGATCATTTTTATTATTAAAACCATATTACACACACACACACACACACACACACACACACACACACACACACACACACACACACGGCCCAGCTGTTGATGTTGGAAACAGAAAAGCCACAAAACCACCATAAATCCTTAAGATTCCAAAGTTGGGCTGGATCTACACTGAAATCTGAAGAGTTCAGTAATAAATAATGCTGTCATTTTATTCGGTGTATCAAGCTCAGCTGAATTATTGAGTCAAACCCCTGTCTTTCTTATAGTATTTTTAGATTTGTTTGGTTATTTTGTGTGTGTCTAGGGGTGTTTTGCCTGTATATATAAGGGTACCATGTGGGGGCCTGGTGCCCACGGAGTTCAGAAGAGTGCATCTAACCCCCTGAGACTGGAGTTACACACAAATGTGAACCACTATGTGGGTGCTGGAGATTGAACCCAGGTCCTCTCTCTGCATCAACAAAAGTATTCGTAACCACTAAACCAACTATCTGGCCTTCTTTTTTTTAAATTTTTTTATAACATTCTCAAGTGTCTACATACAGTAAAACAAAGGAAGTTTAGGGGAAATGTTAGGCACAATTTGATAAAATTAGGAGTAGCAGGATCCACATTGCCCACTAGCAGGGCAGTGACGACTCTCTGCCTGCAAGATGGCCCAGTTATAACAGTATGAGCAACTGGCAAGTCTCTATTCTTTTTTTTTGAGACAGGGTTTCTCTGTGCAGCTTTGGCGCCTTTCCTGGAACTCACTCTGTAGCCCAGGCTGGCCTCGAACTCACAGAGATCTGCCTGCCTCTGCCTCCCGAGTGCTGGGATTAAAGGCATGCGCCACCACCGCCCGGTTGTCTCTATTTATTTTTAACTTACATTTTTTTTAAATTATGGTTTTACATTATCACACAGCAAATAAAACTAATATGTGTCTTAAGATACACTTACCTTTTTCATGACATTCATAATCTGTTATCTCCGTTTGCTGCATTCTTTTTTTTTTTTCCAGAAACAGAGAGGGATGAGCATCTCTTTTGGCCACACCCCCTCCTTTTCCCTACCCCAAGTGCAATCCTGTCTGCCACAGACAGGATTTTCCAGGTTCAAATATTTATAAAACCCTCTGTGTTCAGGGTCTTCAGGATGAAACAAGGTAGGAAATGAGAGGGGAGAAAATCTAGCACAGCAGAAATCATTGCTCTCAAGATTTAGGCAGATTAAGTGCCTCTACTTTTCTATCATGGCCATGAACCTTCCTGTTCACATGGTAGAAACACACACTTTCCACCAGGGCCAGGCATGGTAGAGTTCTAAAATTACAATTGGGGCTTCAGAGTCCTGGAAAGGAAAGCTGATACAGATAGTAGCCCATGGTATGGCTATGTCTGTGTCCCAAAGTGCTCAGTAGCATTAGAAAGTCATTTCTGGAACTTGAATGGCCTCTACATGTACTAAAACATTCTTAATGCAGTGTGGGTTAATGTGGGTGGAAGGAGATTTTGAAACACAGGGAAATCTTTTTCCAGGTACTAGACCTCCTGCTGATGCCTCTTGTGTCCAAACCTTACCTTGAATATGTCTCCAGGCCTCATAATGATTAACAGGTTTGTAGAGAAGTTTCTTGGATTTGATTGGTCCATCCCCAAAGTATGGTTCAGAGCTGATGTTGATGATGGCAAAGTTGTGTCCAGTGTCAATCACATTTGGGGCATGCAGGGGCTTTGGAAGAACTGAATAAAGTTTTAGCAATCAGATTCATTCTTGAGTTCCAGGGGTTTGCTAGTATTCTTAAGTGGCGAAAGAGAACTTGCTCCTTGGAGTTCCCTCCTGGGATTTAATCTCATGACTAACACTCTGAGATCTCTGATTTGGTTCTGCTTTCCTTACTGCTATCTACACTCAAAGATGTTTCCTTTAAATACCCATGGCCACAACCTTCCAGTGGGTTCTGATTACGTGAAGGCTTAAAATCTAAAATTTGTGCCACGACCCATAAGGCCCTATCATGGCTTCAAGAACATACTCTTGGTATATTGAGTGAAACTTACCTTTGACAGAAATGTTGAAAGGCTTTTCCACCATCCCGGCCACTGTGTTCACACTGCAGACCCAAACTCCTGACTCAGGAGGGAAGATCTGGTGGATGGTGAATATGGCCACTGAGAAATGATCTGTATGGTTGAAGTCATTTGGCTAGAACAGTCAAACACAGAAAAACATATTGAAACTTCTTGGGATACTTAAACACAAAGGTCCATAACACATACTCCAGCTCATTGTTTCGTAGGAAGTTTTCTAGGAGAGACTGAGGAGCCAAGTACAATGCTAATATAATCACTGGCTTATTTCCAAAGCTATTGTAGCAGCCCTGAAAAGTTTATACTGGACTGGTGCCCTCCTAGATCCTGCTGTTGTATTTGTGTTTGGAAGTGTGGAATAAACACTTACCAGCAAGGAGTTTAATTCTTTTAAAACTGCTCTGAGTAGCATTTTTTTTTCTTTTCTGGCCTAATACAGAGATAGCAGGATGGAAGGACAAAGTAGCTTCCTGCGTACTTGAGGGGCTGTTGGGTGTGGTGCAATGGGAGAAGACACATGCATCTAAAGACACAGGGATCTCTATTCCTTTTGTCCACGTCCTCGGTTACCCATCCAGCTCCCTATTGGTTGAACATGAGGCAGGCAAGGCTAAAACATTATGGGAAGAAAACAGCTGACTTAGATGCCCCAGCAATGGCCTTTTCACAGAGCAATAAACCCAAAGAATTGTTCACTCACCAAATTGCCTTCATGGGAGCTGAGGGAGTTGGGTAAGAGAAACCAGTGACTGGTTTTAACGTGAAAATACAAAAAGGTATATACTGTTGAAGGTGGAAAGTAAGCTTACTTGGAGATCTCCCGACTCCAAGCAGATAGTGTGGAAAGAGATACCTCCCACTTGGGTGGGGGGATTAAGTCCAAGCCTTAGACTTGAGCTAGTGCCGGGTACATCATAGTGGGAAACCCAGGTGTTAGGCAGATCCTCACAGCCTCTGACCCTCTAGGCTAGTATGGACTCTATAAACTAAATGGTTGGACCTTTGTTCACCAAGAACTTCCTCCATCACCCAACCTTTGGGACACAGCAAGGAGCAAGATTCCATCTACTGATGAGCAGGAAAAGAAACTGAGCATAGGACCTTGCCTTGGAACTCAGTGCTAAACAGTGAGATCCCAAATATCCATATCCTGAGACCAATGCTCAAGAACAGAGACTCCAGACTTGGCACCAAGTAGGATTGTATATCCCGTGGTGAAACAGGCTTATGTTTCATTTGTATCATTTACAGCCATAGTATGAGCCTCAAACAAATCCTCAAGACTGTGCAGACCCTTTGAAATTGTGCCAATCAGATGCTGGTCCAACTGAGCATCTGCCGAGTAGCCAAGTGACTCCCTCCATCATCCCTCCTTTGAATGGTGGCTTGAAAACCAAACATGGGGCCTATCCTCAGCCTACTGGCTGCGAACAAAGCCTTCAGGCTTACACTGGTTGCCCAGTGAGGATCCATGGCTCCAGTTAATTGGAGTTCTCTTTTGGGGCCAGTATCAACTCTGACTGGTTGCAATGGTCTGTGAGTGCACCTCAGCAGCAGACATCCCACAGCAAAGTGTAGCTTGGCCCCAACCCTATGATGCGCCAGTCTTAGATGGCTGTGGGCTCCATATAGAACAGCCTAACCTACTTCTCTCCCAGCCAAGGTATCACAACATAGACTATGTGCTGAGAAGAAAAAAAAGAGAGAAGTAGGTGCCAAGTGATTATACAAAATAATGGGGCTTCCACAGTGAGGCCCAGAACCATGGAGAATCCTTTGGTAATCCAGGCCCAGAAAGACAAACTCCATATGTTCTCTCTCATATGTGAGTCTTACCTTCAACTCTTGAATTCTTTTTGCTTTACATGGAGAACTGACGGAAGCCAGGAAACTAAGAAGAGGAGGGAGGTAGCGGAACCCAGTAAAAAGAAAGAAAAGAGAGGAAGTAACAAATGGTAAGATTTGAGCAGGAAGGGAGGTGGGAAGATTAGAGAAACGAGGCTTCAGGGTGAGAAAAGGTTAACAGGGAATAAAGGGAGCATGAAAAAGCCGTATAGAAGATGTTGTTTGATTGTAACACACACGAAAAAAATTCAAAACACAATTGAAAGAAGTTGCCCTGCATGACTGGACATTGCTGCTCCTGGAAACAGTGGAGTATTCACAGAGACCCCAGTCCCAAGTATGAGACACCTCCACAGGAGTGGGCCTGGGAGGGCACCAGAAACTTCCAAACAACACAGCTCCTGTCAATCCTCTTGGCTGCCTATCAGAACTAGAGGGATCAGGTCACAGTACAGAAGACACCACACAGCTTGGTCCTAAGATACGGAGTGAACAGGCTGACACTGAGCAGGAAACTTCCACCATGCTGGCTAGCATTCATACCACTGGAGGCTGCTGAGTAGGCTGCTGGGGGAATGGGGTAAGGCATCATTGGTCTTGCCCAGAGGTGAACCCGATGAAACATGTCCAACTTATCAGCCAAGACATGCACACCTGTACAGATGTGGCTTCTCTGTGATAGTGTTTTTCCTGCCTATTTCTTTCTTATATTTATAAAGAAGGTTAAGTTGATAACATTTGAAAACAGATGCTTATACAAAAATATTGTGAAGCCTCATTGTGACCACAAAGCAAAACACTATAATAGACAAGCCAAAAATAATAAGGAACCATAACATGCCACTAACAAAACCACGTAGCTACAAAAAGAAAAGAGGGAGATCTATAGCAAAGCTAGAAAACAAGTAACAAAACAGTCATTGGGCTGCTCTGTGGTTAGCACATCTGGAGAAGATGGCCAAGTGGGAGCATCATCATTGAAACTTAGGGAAAGAAAACAATGTAAAAAGTACGCAGTTAGCCTTCAGTCTGCAAGAGGTGAGGTTTGCTGGTGAACTTCCTAAAGCCAGGGGGCATCCCTGCAGGAAAGCAAAGCATCAGAGTCCAGCTAGAAACCCTGTCTACTGCCCAGAAGAGACCTGCAGAAGCTGCTTCTCACACACTGACCTGCAGGACCAGAAGAGACCTGCAGGGGGCTGGAAGAACTAGCGGGAAGGGACCTACAACCTCCTTCCCATTCCCCTTGCTCCTCCTACTCACAGTACTGCCTGGAACCTGCCGGGCAGCTATGCCAACAATTCACTCTAGATATATTCTTTTTATTTCGTATTTCCCATTATTTAGTTTCCACTTCCATACATGTGTCACATAACGGTTCTGCTTCTGTTTGTATATTGCTCCTTTAGGTTTCAGGACTGTTTTCGTTTCTCCACACAGTAGACTCCATGGCATTCTTCATTATTCTCTTCAGCAACACCTCATGAGCCACGCCCCCTTCTTCCTATGATTTTTTACCTCTTTCTCTTATCCTATCCTCTATTCTTTTTTAAAAATTTATTTTATGTGCATTGGTGTGAAAGTGTCAGATCCACTGAAACTAGAGTTACAGACAGTTGTGAGCTGCCATGTGGGTGCTAAGAATTGAACCTGGGTCCTCTGGAAGAGCATCCAGTGCTCTTAACCACTGAGCCATCTCTCCAGTCCCTCCTCTATTCTTTTTACGTCTTAATTACAACTTTCCATAGCTTTAACAAGCTCTGAAGAATGTAGGTCCTGACAATATCTAACTTTCCCCTCCTAGCTGCTTTATCAACTCAATTTTTTTCTTTTCAAAGTCAATCTAGTTGACTTCTCCTTATCTTTAACAACCATCCTACTTCTAATATTATTAACTGAAATTCAAATATACTTATGTTATCCTTGGCTGTTTATCCTCCAATAGTTATTGAAGTAAAAAGGGGCAACTATTGTGAATTGACTAAAGCAACATTTGCATAGTGGAAATATCCAGGAGCTGTGGCTGTTTTCACAGCTAATAACCTACTCAGGGAACAGTCTAGAATTTAAACCAGACACTCCAAAGAGCTATTTCCTACATCTCAATTCTATGAAATCCAAGTACCACTTGAACATTGCAAATATTTAAACTGAAAAAACACAGCTGCTCTACAAATAACCCAAGCAACAAAATAAGACAGATATGTAAATCATAACATAGTAATATAAGAAATAAGAAAATTAAGACAATGTAACTTCTACAAAAACATCACTAACTTTCCAATAATGACCATCAAGTGAGGGTGAGCTATGTAATCCCAAATAGAGAACTCAAAATAATGATTATAAGTATGTTCAAAGACACAAACCAACAGTTCTTGAAACAGTTCATTGAAAGAATTGTTAATGACTGGTATGAAAGAGAAATTCAAACAAGGAGATGGGAAAATGGTGTGAAATGCTAAAAATAAAATTATAGTAAAAAAAAAACAAAACTCTGTGGAAGGTCTCAGAAAAGTCCTGGAACCAGGAGTGGACAGAATATCTAAAATTGAAGGAAGAGGAACTGGAATAATCAAACAAGACAAAGACAAATTAGTGAGAAGGTAAAACCAGTAATTCCAATGCACTCTGAAAAGGCCAACTCTGTGGGTTATAGGCACAGAACAAGAATCTCATTCTAAAGGCATAGAAAACATTTTTAAAAGAATTATAGCAGAATAATTCCCAAAACTAGAAAAAGAGATGGCAATTCAGATATAGGAGTCATTTAGGCACCACACAAACAGACCATAAAAGAACCTTCTTGTTTTATTATAATTAAGAACACTAAATACTTAGGACAAAGGAAGATCATTGAAGCAGTGAGAGAGAAATACGATGTCTCATACAAAAACAGGCCCATTAGAATAACAACAGACACTCTACTGAAACTTTAAAAGCCCAGAGAGCTTGAAATATTTCAAGTCCTAAAAGACAAAAACTACCAAGAAAGAAAACTATACTCAGCAAAGCTATCTGTCATCAAAGAAAATTTAAAACTTTCAACAATAAGAAATAGACTAAAGAAATTTATGACCACTAAGCCAATTTTACAGAAAATACTTAAAAAATGCACATCGTCACAAAAGACAAACACTAAACACTACCTTAATGACACACCTTGAAGTTCTGAGAAAACAAGAGCAAACCAGACCCTCAGTGAGTAGATGTTAAGAAATCATTAAGATCAGGGCAGAAGTTAATGAATAGAAACAATGAACAATAACAACA